ACCTAATGCAATGAGAAAAAAAATCGAATGCACCGTGTTCAGTTAGCAGGGACATGTGCTCAGCCTCTCGGGACGGAGCAGGGCTCTGCATGGGGAGCGGCAGCCATGCCATCTCAGCTCCAGAGGGAAGTGCTGCAAGCAGGCAGCTTCTCAGTAGCCAAGAGTTTACTGCCAACTATCTGTAGGCTGCTCTGTAATTTATCGTGACTGAATTTGTAATTAAACTGGGGTTAAGAGAAAATAGGGAAGAAGACATTTTGTTTTCTGGATTCAAAAATGACCATGTCCCAAACGGTACTCTTCTGAGTCACTGATACATATCTGCGTTGTGCCTTTGATGCCTTTCACTTAACTATGGTTAGTACTTCAACAAACACTAATATTAGCCTCCTACTGCTCAAGGAACAAAACCAACATTCTCCCAGACAGCACGCAAGAGACCGCTGGTGTATTATAAATGTTCATGCCTGTGAGACTGTTCAAAACGGTGAGGCCACATCTCTCCATTCATGCAGAGAAGGGACTGGCTCGACACAGTCACTGTTCTGACAGAGGCAGGGACAAAGCCCCCTCTGAGACTTCCGCCAACTGGCACAGGTTACATTGAAAGAACAATACGTACTGACATTTGTGTCTTCCACAATTCATGATAAATAAGCAAACTGGTTATTTGTAATCAGCCAAACTTGCTTCTGGGAAAAGGCTGCTACTGGATGATGCAGAGCTCATGTTCCTTCCCAGTACCAGAAAGGAAAAAAATCAAGTTACATTGACAGCTAATTTTATCGTTTCAAGCTCTCTTCTTGCGATTATCTCTCTTTCCACAATGGCAAAGGATAAACCAGTGCTTCTCAAAACTTCTACCGAGCTATCCTACTTGCTTTAGTCACGGGTAATTTTATAGTTGAATTCGGTTTCCATCGTCTATGCAGCTAATGAGAATAACCTCCTTGTCATTAAAGTTAAAGCTGGCCTATGTGAAATAGACACTGAATTCTACTGACATTCATTGTTTTAAGATCACACCAAAGTTTTTATGTTTAATAGTCTCCTGCAAATAATATCGTGTGGTGTGGCAGTTCTTCGAAGCTGTGTGTGTCTTACCTTGTTTTATTCTCAAAAGGACCCATTTTCCCCCTTGTCCAACACAGGACTTTCCATACGCCCTAAAATTAACACAAATCCTAAACAAAACATCCAGGGTACAGCTGGGAAGTCTGCTTATGTCTCATCTTATACAGAAGTGGGGGTGGTGGTGGCAGAGATAGCTGTTTGTGGGACAGAACTGTGGGCCTTAAACCCAACCAGGAGGTTTTACCTTGGCCTTCTGCTACTTAACCCTTAGTGAACTGCACCAGAGAGCAGTCATTTCAGGGCTGCTATGGAAATAAAGGAAGTCAGACATCTCGCAACACCAAGATGAAGAAAGTCGAGAAGCATCTCATTACTTTAAACCAAGTTACTTGTAAATGATTGTAAATGTAAAAAAAAAAAAAAAAAAATACTGCTACGTAATATTTGATTCTCACAGAGGTAAAAAATTCCAAAGCTGGAACGAGGAGGAGAAAGGGAAAGAAGGGACATACTAAACTAAACCAGTCTATCATGTAGTTAAGCAAAACAGTTAAACATTCTGAGAAAATACGTAAGTCTATCATTATGTGCCGTCATCAATTAACATGTTTCAGGGAAGGAGCTCATTCTAATCCACCTTGAAGGATGTGACAACTGCATTTATATGGCCAATTTAGGAAATACCAAGTTATATTTGTACAAATGCACATGCATGTATAGGGATGTGTGTGTGTGTGCCTTCCTCTAAGTAGAGTCAAAAATAAGGAAAGCATATCCCTGGTGGTGCAAGTGGTTGAGAGTCCACCTGCCAATGCAGGGGACACGGGTTCGTGCCTCAGTCCGGGAAGATCCCACATGCCGCAGAATGGCTAGGCCTGTGAGCCATGGCTGCTGAGCCTGTGCGTCTGGAGCCTGTGCTCCGCAACGGGAGAAGCCACAACAGTGAGAGGCCCGCATACCACAAAAAAAAAAGGAAAGCATAACATTTGATTTGCATGATATTTCTGTCTTTAATCCATGCATTTATAAAAGTAATGTGACTAATTATTTGGGTTCCATAGTTGCTCAGCCACATCTCTTAATTAGTGTAAATCCTGGCAAGTTACTATCAATTTTGGCCATTTTTGGTGAAATCCCTGGCACCATGCCGTGAGAGCTCAACTTGTAAAGCGCACAGCACTGCCGCTGGCCTTGAGTCTTACTGACTGCTTAGTCTCGGCCCCTTACTTTCCTTCTCACTTAAACTGAAGTTCCTGTTCGGAGTTCCTGAATTTCTTCCCCTCCTCATGTTGCCAAAGTATTCAAATGGCCAGCAGTTTAAAATGGCCATTAATGTCCGAAACTCTAACTGGTAGCAAGTGCCCCTGCCAAACCCCAAAGAACTTGGGAACCAAAAATACTTGAGGCTGTAGGTTTCATGGTTTTACTAAGTTCAAACTTCAACAAAAAAGTGTACTTGAGGGCTTCCCTGGTGGCGCAGCAGTTGAGAGTCCGCCTGCCGATGCAGGGCACATGGGATTGTGCTCCGGTCCGGGAGGATCCCACATGCCGCAGAGCGGCTGGGCCCGTGAGCCATAGCCGCTGAGCCTGCGCGTCCGGAGCCTGTGCTCCGCAAGGGGAGAGGCCACAACAGTGAGAGGCCCGCGTAGCGCCAAAAAAAAAAAAAAAAAAAAAAGTGTACTTGAACTAGGGACTCAATCAACTGAGTAATTATATTGAAAACATTGAGTCCCACCTATAAAGCAAAGGAACAGCTTTTTTCTAACAAAAATGAGTTTGTCGCCAGGGTCAGTTGTGAGACTGTCAGACGTTTGCTCATTATCCATCGTGTGAGCTACTTGCTTCCCTTTCTACCCATGTGCTTTCAAGCACAGCTTCTACTCTTCATCAGCAGATGCAGTTTCAGGAATGGAAACTAACAGCCTAGTAAAAATAGAATTGAGAAGCTAAATCTAGAGTGCTGCCCCCTCCTCCCCCATTAACTGCATGTAAAACATACTATAATCCATTCGTTTGGTAAAAGTTAATTCCACTTTAAGTGGCTTCTTCTCTATTTTTCTACTGAGTTACCTAATAGTCTTTTTTTCCCCTTAAGAATAAACAGGGACATCGAATTCTGTTCAAACAAATTCTATTTCCAGACATTTCTATTGCACTTAAGTACTATCAGGTAATAATTCTAGACTGCTAAAATTTCAAAAAGGACAAAATATTAACTACTGATGGTGAATCTTTATTAGGGGAAAAAAGAACTGCAAGGTCACGGCCTGCGTTGCAGCCGGCTGTTACTAAGTTAGCTGTCCTTAACAGGGCACACGTGCCAGCCAACACAGCAGCCACCAGCTCCATGTAACCACTGCAATTTACATTAAGAAAAATTACGTAAAATTTAAAACTCCATTCCTTGGTTGCACTTGCCACTTTTCAGGCCTATGAGGGCCACAAGTGGCTGGTGACCGGCGTCCTGGACAGTATGCATCAGAGCATCCCCTCACCTCCACAGGTCTCTGCTGCTCTCAGGGCACAGGGCCTGCCCCTGGCCTAGGAGGAGCGCACTACGCACACTGAAAACGCTCCTATTTAAGTTGAAATAGAAACAAAGACTCCATAAATCAGATTTAAATAGTCTCATATCACATGCAATTCCAGCAGCTAGTTATTAAAGTATTTTTAAAGTGTTGCTTAAATGAAAGCACACGAAACGAACGGGCAGAAATGGGACTTAATTGTTACAGAAAGTCCTCAGAGAAAAAAATGGCTGAAGGCTGATTTCATTAAAAGTCCCAAAAGGACATTAATTGGGTATAGTTCAAGAACTGCTCTGAAACTGCAACTTGATTAAATAAAAAACTGGACTGCATGGTAAGCACAGACCCTGTTCTGCTTGCACACTGTCAGTCAGGGGGCAGGGTCGGCTGTCAGTCAGCACGTGAACCTAATGCCAAAGTGGCCTCGGGTTTCCTCAGACACGCTAGCTTATTCCTAACCTCAGACCCTGACCACTCTCACAGCTGGACAGGGTTAAGGGAAAATTACCCAATGAAAAGGTTCAGTCACATCATGACAATTTTTTTAAATGAGTTAATATCCAGAGTGCCAATTTTAACTTTAATATTTCTAAACCTATAATTGAATCATCACAGATATGGACATGACCTGCTTTTTAGACTGAGCTGAAAGAGACTAGTCTTTTAAAAAAAAAAATTGAGTCAGAAAACTATTCTCCATTTCATGAAGATCAAAATGGGCCCTTCCAAGGAAGATTTAAATGGATATCAAAATTCTACCACAGAAACATACACATTTATATGTGTGGTCAGTAAAATGATAAATTCATGGTATAGTTTTTTTTTTTTAATCCAGACATTTGGGATATCCTATAACTGGTTAAGACAATTCAACAAATAAGGTACTTTAACTGAAAGATTCAATTATTTAAGTAATATAAAAATTTAGAAATATCAGGAATCTAACAAATTCAAAGTTTTAAAGAAATCTCAAAGGGAGGTAGTTAATAAATACGGCTTCACTGACCTCATACTTTTCCTGTGGGACTATCCTGTAAACCCTTTTTGATGACGCTTTCCCCACATTCGAATTTTACAACCTAAGTCTGAGCTGAAAATTTCAATGCGTGGAAAATCCAAGCATTATCCAGCACTATTAAAGATTTAACCAACATTGTACTTCCTCTGGATATAAAGCTGGACGTATTTGTACTAGTTTACTAACAAATAGTTAAGACAGAATTTACTTAGAATATAAACAAAAAACCAAGTTGTGCAGCCCAATTAAAGCAAAAGTAATATATTTAAATAGCTCTTACAACACCACTAACATATTTTAAGTCTCTTCCCAGGTAATCAGGAAAGAGGATGAGAACTGTGACCAGGCCCCTCCCATCCCCAAGCAGCCGAGGAACTCACCATCTTTAGAATTGCACCATACAGCCGCAGGAGCACCTTCCGAGGCTCGTCACCAATGGTGGCCAGAGTGTCGGGTAAGGAGCACTGGAACAGCATGTTACTGAGGCCACCTCTGTCAGAAACAAGAGGACCGTAAGGATCTGTATTTTTTTTTTTTTTTTTTTTTTTTTTTTTTTTGGT